ATTGCCCCAGCTTCGTTTCGGATATTCTGCTTCAACTGGAGCGGACTGGTTGAGTTTCCGTAAGCAGGGTGTTTAAAGAAGTTGCATAAGCAAAAGTCAAGTGGAGCAAAGTTGAGATCTCTTGCAAGTCAGTCAGTGTCACCGCATCTTGAAATTAATATTTCAGAAAAAAAATTCTCTGGTAATTTCTAGAATTATATCTTCAGCGTCATGAAACATGTGTTATTCAAATCATAAAAGAAAAGTATATATGTATATTTAAATATGTATTTAATTTTTACAATAATAATATAATTATGGTTTCTTTGAAATGTATTAATTTAACGATCAAAATTATTTTGCATAAAAATATTCTTTCTCGTAAATATTTCACTCACATTAATAATTATAATTAATATACAAGAATTTGTCGAATCGAAAATAAATTTTACTATTGTTGTAATGATAAAATAATTGAATCATAAGCATATTTCATCGAAAAAGTTTAATAATTTTATGCAATTTATAATGTATGATTAATTGCAAAATTATATGAATTATCATTTCTATTGAACATGTGAAAAGTATTATTTCAGAATACAATTTTTAGCAACTTTTTCATTAAATAGATTTCATATTATATAAATATTTATCATTTTGAAATACATCTTCTTTTGATAAAATTTACAAATTACTTTCCTATATTCGTTTCACGTTTACTGTTTCATTTACATCGCAGGAAGTAAATAAAAAAAAAAGTTAGGAAAACGAAACTTGTTTCAGAGATAGAAAGAAATTTTAATTTCCAGAGAAATTGATAAAGGTTTCGTTTTCAACTTGATCGAATCGAGTTGTGATTTATTTTGTAGTTTTCATTTTGTTATTTATCAAGCTTGCAAAACGTTTACATAATAAACTTTGCTTTCCTAACGGTCAGATGAATACTAATTAATGAATAGCCGATAGAGATGGCGTGATTAATGGCATTAATATCACAGCGAATATCGAAGCATTATCGAAATTGACAATACGAAAATTCCTATTTTCTGTTCTATCTCTGATATCAATTATTAGACAGTAACGTCGCACGAGATTTCTCTCGAAGAATAAATAAAAATATAAATATAAGAAAATGCAATTGAATTTTTCACACGAATATTTTACTGGCAGTATCTTGGGAAATTTCGTTTTGAATATTTGGTATCGTTCTTGCGAAAATGGCTATTCCGAGACAATGTAGGTGCATATATTGAAAAAGTAATATTTTTAAAATTTAAACTGTGATTTTTTTTCTCAAAACTTCATTTAATAAAAATAATTTTGTTTACTCATAAACAATTAGCATTCAAAAATAATTTGATGCTAAGTAAATATTATAAATTGGAATTTTTATGATAATTTTCCATCAGATGGATTTAAATTGATACAATAATAATTTTTAAAAATTCTTTCTTATTTTAATATTTTCTGTGTTTGTCTAATTATGCTCGTTTTCTGTCTTATCTATTGTTTTTTATTTATGAAATTTTTGACAAGAAATCGTAAATTTACTGATAAAAGTGAAACACAATTTCCTTTCTTTTTCTCTTTTTCCTCTTTCATTTCAACACGTCGAATTTACTTTGTCTTTACTACCCTGTGACATAATATTCTTTTTATAAAGCCGATTTGTATATTTTTTATATAACAGTATCCAATTTTACTTAACATCATTTCAAAATGGAGTTTTTAACACAAAGCTTTGTGAGAAGATTTTATTTCACATTTTTCATATATCTATCTTTTTTCTTCTTCCTCCCATTTGAAAATATACCAATAATATTTATATAATAAAATATACCGTTGGAAAAAGATTCTATCACAATTGAAAATACTTCTAATTGTTATTGATAGAGAGAAATTATATATAGACGAACCAAAAATTTTTATTTTTATATTCCATCCTGAAGGAATAATATAAGAGATTATATTAAATTACGTTAAAATAAAAAAAGTTTTCCCGTTGTTAATCATTCAATCAAATTTTCAATATATATTATGTGAAAAAATTCTTTTTCTTTAATATTTTATTCTTTGATATTACGAACACTGAATTGTCGAACAAAAAAATTTATAAATTATTAAATATAATTTATTAACTTCGATGTAAGAAATTCAATTCGAGTAACTAATATGCAAATCAAACTTTTCCCTCGAATTACAACAATAAAAAGCCTATAATAAATTGCAAAAAGTCAATCTACTATAACTTTAAAATTATAATTCGAAAAAACAAAAAAACCATAGAAATTCAAAAGGAAAAACTATCGACCACTTTTCAATTTTAATAACTCACGAAAAAAAAAAAATAATAATTTCCATGCAAAAACGGAGAAATAAAATCCGCGTTGTCCAGATATCGTATTATCCCTCCCCCGCTATTATTTTCGCGATAAACACATGACAACATTCGCGAACAAAATATTCGATAAGGGAAAGTTTCCATCCGAGCGCACCCTCGTCCATTTCCCAAGTGCCGGTATCTGGCGAGTCCGGTCGCTTCCGAAAATTATGGTTAAAATTGTACCGATATCCGTACATTTTCGCGCGTTACACACATGCACACACACCCTCGTACCCTCGAACGAGGATTTACATATAGATTAGACGGATGTTCACGGCTTGAGAGGGAAATAGAAACGCGGCGTGGCTATCAATGGAGGAGGGAGGGAATCGCGTGACGATTTTGGCCCGATTTCAAACAGAACCGGTTCCAGACGCGCATACGTGTCTCGCGCACTCGTATTTCTATACGTCTACTTCCACGCGTTCCCTGTCAAGAAAATGTTAGATTAGAGCTTTATTCTTAGTCGGCCTTGGATGGTATCATGTTACAGTGTTATTTTTGCTATCACTGTCGAATTTTTGTCGACGTAACGTGTAATTCGTGCTATCCATCGTCAATGGTTCGAAGAGTAATATCATAGTGTAAAGTTTTGTTTTGCTTAGTCGAATTTCGCGGGAATTTCGCGGCCATATTCGAGATCGATCTCTTCAGACACTGGCACTATTCCAACGAATTATTCCAACAGGGAATAACCTAGTATTTTCGTGCGGTATATCGTATTGTAGCGTGTCGAGAATCAAACCTCCACTTCTGCTTTATTTCTTTTCCTTTTCTTATTCTTCCTCCACTTTTCGAACCTGGCGACGTGACTCTTCTCTCATTACGTAGCTTGAAAAGCCGTAGCGCGGAGAGGCCGTTGAACGTGTCGGTGGAAATCGATGATAGAAAAATCATATTCTATACATACATTCCTATGTATCTGTATTTTCAATGCCCCGTCCGTCTTCCAGAGAGTTAATTTTTGTATGAATCTCGCGTGGTATATTCAGCATTTAGGATTGATTGAACTTGCGAATATTGTATTTTTTTTATGAATTTATGCAAATATTGCGAATTGAATGCTCTCAAATTATACGTTATATATTTATTTATATATGTATAATAGATTCAAAGTTTATCGTATTATTTATGGATTCTGATTATTATTCGACAAATTTATAATATCGTTGCCAATGCAATTTTTAATAGTCTGATGTTATATATAAGCTAAAAGATATTAAATCAAATATTGATTATTTCTATTGATGTTGTTCTCACAATTCTAAGTATCTTTCAATGAAAATGAAATATATATTGACAGGTAGTACGATTTCACTCACTCTCTTTGTAATTACTTTTTTCATGTGACAAACCGGTTTATTTTTCGATATTATGATGTCGTCATTTGCAAATATTAGTCGGATTTCATGGCGCGAAATTATATACATGTTGGTGAACTTGTTTCTTGACCGTTTCATACGCCACGTGTTGCATAAATTGTGATTCCAAACATTTTCGCGTTATAAATTCAACGAATGTTCTACGCGCCGTAAAAAATTGCACGTGTTTTCAACATTCAGTTCAGAAAATATGTAAAAGTGATTGTAACACAATGTTTCAACGTTTCGTTGCGCAACTATTTACGTACTTCAATTATTCCATCGGTATGGCTCCAACTGGTGCCGTTAAATATGAGACTGTAAATTTATTTTTAACGAATTTGCTTAATGTTTTGTTTTTTCATGTCGAGTCACCACTTCATGTGTTCTTTACACATGTGAAAATCGTGCAATTTGCACACAATTTTCAATTCACTCGGCCAAATAAAGCGTTAAATATTGTTTTCTTATTGAAATCACTGCAGATGGCGATTGCATTTGTTTTTTTTTTTAAATTAAATAGGACAAGAGGCTTTCAGTTTGTAAGAAAGAAATTTTTCCATAAAAGGTTTCTAAGTAAACAAAAGAACATTTATTCCTTCGTTATGTACTAACATCCTTCAAAAGCAATTACGAATGAAATTTCTAAAGAAATGTTGTTTTAACACAACTTCTTTTCATGATGGCTTTTGTCGAAACAAAAGAATAATATATAGTGGATAACGAAAATATAAAAAATTTTTCGAGAACTGTATATATATATCATACTTAAATTTCATAAAAATCGACAATTTTTTGAATGTTGTGTCTCTTCAAAATAAAGAAATATATAAGAAAAACTCTCTAAAAATAATTATATCAAATAATTAATTTTGTTATCAATTTCTTAATTATACAATTTGATTTCTCTAATAATCTCGAATATATAATTTTCAAGGTATAATTCTTAAATTTGAAGTATAATTTGAAATTTTTCTTTTATCAAATTTTATTCGAAAATATTTGTTATTTCTTCTTTTTCTCTTTTTTATACATGATTGATAAAAATATACTGTTCTTATCGGCTTAAAAAAAGAAAAAAAGAAAAAGTGACAGACAGCAATATCCTGAAATTCTGTGAACGAAAAGTGTTGGTGTATTTACGGATAGTAGGTGCTATTCAAGCGACACGCAATATTGCATCCATGATAGCGTGACGGTTTGTTGTTTTATTCCTGCTCCATGCCAGCTGGTGTTTGACTGGTATTTAATTTCTTTCGTTTGATCTTCTGTTTCAGGCGCTTTTGCAAGCACATGACGTAGCGGGACATGAAGTTTATGGCGAAGAAGCCACCAGAGTTACACCACCTCCTCTTCTCCCCTATCTAAACGGAGGCGACGATCTCGAGGGACAGAACGGTGATTTGGACCTGGAAAATGTAACACGCGTCAGGCTGGTCCAATTCCAAAAGAATACGGATGAGCCAATGGTAAGAAAAATATGTATATATGATATAATTGCATAAATTAAATGTCAAATAATTAAAGATTCAATTTCATAAATAACATTTTAATGATGTGTGAAATTTATGGAAAAGAGATTATCAAATTTTAAAAATTTTTTGTCTTTTATATAAATAAAATTTTCCTTCGATAAAAGAAAAAACAAGGAAAGGCGATAAAAAGATAGCATTACTTGTTCGGTTGCAGGGAATCACTTTAAAAATGAACGAAGATGGAAAATGTGTGGTAGCACGAATTATGCACGGCGGCATGATACACAGACAAGCGACCCTTCACGTGGGTGACGAGATCAGAGAAATTAATGGGATACCGGTGGCCAATCAATCTGTCAATGCCTTGCAAAAGATACTCGTGAGTACAATTGAGATCAAATCGCAGATATTGTGTGAAATATTATTGATTGATGTGTGATACCATGTTTTCGAATAACATCGCGTGTTTTACAATTGTTTTGTTTCCTTTCTCTGAAGAATATATAAATATATAATGAATCTCGTAATTGGAACAAACAATATCTTATTTCGTCGAATATTCAAATGAAATTATATAGAGAAGAATGAAATAATAGATATAATTAAAAAATGATAAAATTCACTTTTTTTTGTACTTTATTCAAAATTGGTGTTATTATGTTTTTATTCTGCATCATTTGAATTAATAAGTAGTTTATAAAATAATTTTTTTACACGCTATATTCTTCAGTTATTCATTATGTGATTTTAATATTAAAATAATTACGCGATATTTATATTCATCATTCGTATTGAAAATGATCTTTTAAGATAAATTCGAGCATACATATACATGACTGTATAAAATCCTACGAATATATAAAATTCTACGATTAAATCGATATCACAGGAAATCTGTCCTGATTTCCGATTCTGTTACATACAACCAATAAAATCTCCCATCATTTTGATATATACGTCAAGTTTATCGCTAGTTTCGGAGATTTGACATCGAATCTGACATTAATCCATGCTGGATATGCAGCTCTTTGCTTCATACCTACTAAATACTCAGTGATTCATACAAAAGAATGACATATATGCAGTGTATTAATCATCCATCAATTAAAAATCATTATCTTCGATGTTACAGCTAGATTTATTTATTTATTTACTTTTATTTTTAATACAGTTTAATAGAGTTTCTTTTTTGGAGAATTATTCTGCTTGAACTGACCTACATTTATTCAGATGGTCGGTAAAAAGTTATATTAAAATTTTTCTTCCACTTTGGCTCGAGAAAAATTATTTTTTTCGATGTTCGTATAACACTTCATCAAACATTAACAATTCGACTTTCTGTTTCAGCGGGAAGCACGAGGTTCGGTGACCTTCAAAATCGTGCCATCGTACAGGAGCGCGCCACCCCCCTGTGAGGTACAAGTAAGCCCTAAAACCCAAACCCAGTCCCAGAACCCAAGTACAACGAATAAACCCGTGGCCGCGGCAGTGTCGAGCACCAGCTCGGCCACTGCCGCGATCAAATCCGGGAAATCAGTGAAAACCTCCACGGCTACCAACGCAAAAGAGAAAAGTAAATCCAAGTCTTCTAAAAATAAAAGTGGCTCTTCCTCGACCGATAGTACACCTAGGCGACGACTTAACCCCTTATCAGCTCTCAGATCGCGAAAATCTTAAACTCGAAGAGTCTTTGATAGATAATTCGATAGATAGATTCGATAGTTCTTCTGATGTTCTTTGAATAGGAATAGTTCTAATAGGAATAGTTTTGTGTTGTGTTTCATCGAATAATTTTTCTGTAGTCACCTTTTTTCTGACTTTAAATTACAATCGTTTGGAAAATATTAAAATATTTCCTAGTAGAGTAGTAGTTAGATGATATCTTATAATCTTGAACTTGTACTCTTACTTGAAAATAAGTAAAATATTCTTTATCATATTTTATTATATATTCGTGTTCTTCTTTCTTTTTTGTTTTATATATATAATTTTTTTCGTTGTTTTTCTATTTTCGTTGATTAGTTTTTTAATATTGAATGATATTTCGTGTGATTTTCGTATCAAAATATATAATTTCGCATCAAGGATCGTTATCAGTAATAAGTTTAATACTTGTAAAGTTTTTCAATTTTAAGATGGTACTTATAAATTATTTTGATTATTGGAAATATGGAGATTCAAACAAAATTAAATAATATTCATGTGAAAATGTTATTTAACTTCATCGTTCATCAAAGGATATATTTCAAGAAGATTTATAAATTTTTCATTAGCAATCTCGATATTTATTAATGGAATACATAAAACAGTATATAATTGCTATTAGCTATACGTATACTTTATTTATTCCAAAAATATGTCAGAAAATTTGAAAGTTTATATTCAATTATTGGAATCTTTTTGTATACGATAATAATTATAATCATCGAACATGTGAATATTGAATATACTTCAGTTTTTGTTAAAAATTCACAAGAAATTATAATCTTTTTATTTGTTTATGGAAAATTATATTAAAATTATTAATGCAGTGCCAACATTAGATTTTGATTATTAAATTCAAGTATTTTATTAGAAGTATATTAGAATTTATTTCATCGTTATGAAAAAATATAGAATTTTATAATGTAATATTACAAAACACAAAGATTAATTTAATTAATTTTCAAATAAAATTTTGAAAACTAAAGTAAATTTAATCGAATAAAATTTCTTCTTTGTCTAATATCGATTTTACTATATAATTAGAAATATAAAAATTAAATAACACATAGTTCCATTTGTACAGTGATTAAATTCTTTAATTAGAAGAAAGCTATTTATAGTTTGTATAGATAGACTTGTCGCTTTATAAACTATATTAGAATATCTATTTCGTGTCACTGTGATGATAGAAATTAATTCCTTGGTATTCAGTTAGCTAGTTGTTTGATAGTCTGCTGCTCGCCAATATAGGGTGAGCTTAAATAACAGAATGCCATCTAACTTGAGATTAGATAAGGAATTTCATTTTAAACAGGTGAATTCCGATAAACAAACGTGCTTTTTAGAAATTTATTACTGAGAAAGTACGTACAAATTATTTCTAGTCCAATTTATATTCCCATTTTTTCTTTATCCTGTAAATTTTATTCATAATATTAGGTTGAGTAATCAGTTGTCTCTTTTCTAGAAAGAATGTTATTAATATCAACTATTGTGAATAAATGTACAAATCAGATTACATATTTATATTAGATATGATAAAAATTATTACAAAATTATTATTAATTTCTTTCACTAAACTTACTTAACACAAAAAATAAATGAATTAATTATCTAATATATTAATAATTTGCGCAAAAAAATGACTAATTAAATAAATTTTATATAACACTTTCAAATTTTTAAAGAAATACAGACAAGCTTATTACTTAATCTAATATCTGAATAAAGAGAAGAAAGAGATATATATATATATTAAATATTTTAATATTGGAATTTTCTAGTCTTTATTCACCGACAAAATGAAAGTTTTATTTCGGTATTTAGTCTTGTATTACGCGCCTAATCTTTTGTACAATAGTCGAGAATGATTTAGACTGGAATCGCATGGAACTTGAGAAGTTCCATGGATAGTCGGTAGTTTATACGTAGTTAAACATCAAGTTTCATGAATGGATAAACGTGGAAAGAGACAGTTCGTATAATAGATTACAGAGTACCTTGTGTACTCGAATCTGGCGTGTTTTGATTTGTTGGATCTTGGCTATATCTGGTGTTACGCTGTTTAGAGAACTCCTATGAAGCTTTAATAGTTAAATTTGTAGATGTTAAGTTTCGAATCTAAATTGCAATTTCAGTTTCTCTGAATTATTATTTATATATTTATATTTCGAGTGGATATTAATTTTTTCTATTTGATATTAAAAAAAAATTCTTATCAGATGATCGAATTACTAGGCAAAAAAAAAAAAAATATATTGATATCATTTTATTTTATTTTTATTTAATAAAGCTTTGTTGATATTATTATATTAATTTGAAAAATGTGAGATTTTATTTATTATTATGTACTATTAAAAACTATTTTATTTTTATTTTTAAAATTATATTTCAAGATTTTCTTTCAATTTTATAATACATATTATATTTTAAACAATTTGCATATATACTTTATGCAAATATTTTTATTTCATTTCTAGAATAAAATCTATAAAGTAATTAAATTCATAAAAATTTATATGCTTTACGTATAAAGTAATTGAATATAAATTATTGGAATCTATTTCCTATTTTATTTAGAGATTTTTGTATACATTATAATATTATATGTTGTATACAATATAGAGAAGTTAATTATTAGAAGTTAATAATAGATTAATAATAATAGTCGAATAATAGAATATTTAGTTGCTTAATAAATTTCCTAGATTATAGGAAATTGAATCGATTAGAGAAATTTAAATATTTCAGATATAGAATTAGATCTTGAAACATAAAAAAAAAAAAAAAATTAATATATATATATAAAAGAGAAAGTTCATATAAATATATATATATATAAACTTATGATATTATATCCTATTATAATAATATATATATTCGTACCTGAACATTACAATCCCGTAATAATTGTCTTCAATTTGAGAACTCGTAGCTAATTTTTCTTTCTAATGCTTTTTAGATTGTAATCAAGTATTAAGCTTTGTACCTTTGGAATTGGGTGAGCTAAGAAGTAATTTCCAATTTTTCTCTAAATGTATTTTTCTAATATTCATTTATTAAATTATTTTCGATATAGATATAATAAATATTTAAGATAAGCAAATATAGTCGTTTCTCTTAATAATCCTGCAATCAGGGTAATATATCTTTCTTAATAATATTTTAAGAGGATAAAGAGTCGAACCTTTCTAAAAAGAATCCTCCGTCCAATAGTTTTAAAAAAAAACTTAATGTAAATAATAATTAGTTGATGCCTAGAATATAAAAAAGTTTAATGTTCTATAAAAATTTTTATCTTGTTTGAAAATTATCATTTTTTTTACTTAAATAAAATAATAAATTTATTTTCTTTTCCACTCATTTTTTGAGTAATCATTTTTATAATAGTATATGGTGCATAAATATATAATTTATATAAATTTTTAAGTTACAAATAAGAATTATTGGAAATTACTTGTAGTTTTGCCTAATATTTTCAATTGATATTAGATAATTTTTATGCTCTAGGAACGAAGTTCCAACTAATAAATATAAATTTCATGAACCAATGGTTACTAAGAAATGAATTTAAAGGAATTACATCGAATTTCAATGTACTTGAAATTGAATTGCTGAAAGAATCGAAACTGGGTCAAACACGGATAGTTAATGCAAAAGATCGCTGTTCAATTTTGATATCTTTCAAAGTTTCTACGAAAGTGTTGTAATGAATCATTCATTAATCAGATTATGAAATTTGATTATTTAAAATGATATCAGATACTTTCGTACATCTTTTACAATTACAATAGAATTATATTATTATCACAATAATTATTTTTCGTGTAGTAATTTCTTTTATCCCGTAAAAATATTCAATCATAAAAAATATTCTCTACGAAAATATCGTTATAAAAAATAATTTCGTACATTGGTAATTAATACATTCACAAATTACGTTCATTAATTTTTTCATAAATACATCTTTTTGAATATAAATTTAGATTAAATAAAATAGTTTTCAAATCATTTTCTTAATGACTCGATATAAAACATCATCTGTTAGTTTTATTTAAAATTAATCGCTGTCAAACGAAAATTATCAAAAATTATCTTGCGTTTTTAATAAATCGAACAGGTATTAGAACAATTACGCACGTAAGAAATAATATTTTTCTAAATCAATAATAAACGCAGGGAATATAGAGAGTGAAATTAAGAGTAAAATGAGGTATCTAACACGGAGCACGAGGTAACGTTATAAATTCATTAGAGAAAGTACGTGCGGAACATGGAGCAAGATGCAAGATTTTTTTGAAATTAAGCCAACCAGGATTTAATTGAGCCATTTCTACCCCTACAAATGAGGTTTTCAGTTACCTGCTAACGAACTCTGAAAAGAACGTAGCTGAATACAATGTTTTTTCTACTTTTTTTTTCCAATGTTTTTACGAAGTCTTGACCTCGCTATAAGATACCATTTTTTCGTCTATCTTGGTGAAAAAGTTTTTCCAAGATAATTATTTTTTAATAACGATCGTATGATTTATTAAATGGAGCCGATAACTAAAGGTTTTCACTGATTTCTTTGAATGCATACATACAATACACACACACACACACACACACACACGTACATACATATATATTCAAAGAATTATTACTACACTTAAACACTAAGACACTTGAGTCATATGACCAATTTTTTTATACCTATATTGAAGCTTAATTTACTG